TTGAGTGGACACTGCAATGAAGGGAGAGCCCAGAGGATTTTATTTGGTGAGATTGTTGTTAGGGTTTGACATCAGGGGCGATGGTACAGAAGCTGTCACACATGTCAGGATGCTCTGTGGTGTTTCCAACATCAGTGATTTTTCAAGGAGGTTTTAGAAATGCAGCAGCTTCCTGCAACTCACTGGGACACGAGACAAAGTGGATGGATGTTGGTATAAGCTGGTTTATAAAGTGTCTATTGAATCAAACACAGGATGATGCCATTTTTATTAAAAGCCACAAAATGCTTGAAGCCAATTAATACTCCCCTGCTTTACTAATGCCTCTGCTCGGAAAATTAAATGGTTTCATTTAGCAAAACCAATTTTAAAGCCTTTTTGTCAAATTTATAATGACTTCAGCATGAGGAGACTCATGTCTTGCACACATAATAGAGTTTTTTTTTGAAGAGAGCGGGTGCGTAGCGAGGTGCCACGTGCGGAATAAGAGCAAAGTTGCTCTTCTGAGTGAAGAACTGGTTACAAGTAGGAAATAAAAGGTACAAAAAACTGTTCAGCTTCTGCAGTGAAGGGAGATTAACCTGTCTTGGGAAGCTGTGCAGTTCAATATCCTCACAAAAAGGCTGAAAAAAAAAAAAAGGGTGACAGGCGGCGGTGACGCACCAAAACCCGCTGAGGGTTTGGAGTTATTCCAGGTGAACCAAAGTAGACACGGCCACAAAAAAAGTTGTAGAAGAATCTGACAATACCACAGAAAATAGCTGCTGAAATTCCATGTCAATAAAAGTCAAGTGCAGGCACAATGAGAGGGTTTAAATTAGCCCGGGAAAGAGGTTCTGGCGTCATTGCAGATGGTGCTTTGGAAACATCTGCTCCGTGCTCAGCAGAGGTCAGGAAGGCAAGTGGAATGCAAAGAATTGCTGGGAAAGGGGAATGAAAGAGGAAATGTAAGTACAGGGCTGAATAAATCCGTGGGGCTCTCGAGCACGGTGGAATTCCAGTCACCCCGGTGACTGCAGAGGGGATGGAGAGCTGGGAGAGCTGCAGGGAAGGGTGAGGAGGCTGCCCTGGGTTATGGATTGGGAGAGAAAGGCTCTGGGTCTGGATGAAGATGTGAATGGGCAGGATTAAGGTGTAAAAATCCAGATTTCTACGGAGAGAGGGGAGAAGGAATTGTATTAGGAGATGATCAGGGGAATGGAGCACCTCTGCTGTGAGGAAAGGCTAAAAGGATTGGGATTGTTCAGCTTGGGGAAGGGAAGGATTTGGGGTGACTTTTGGACCTTCCAGTGCCTGAAGGAGCCTACAGGAAATGCAGTGAGGGACTATTCACAAGGGCCTGGAGTGGCAGGACAAGGGGGAACGTCTTCAAACTGAAAGAAAGTAGATTTGGATTGGATATTAGGAATAAATTCTTCCCTGGGAGGGTGGAGAGGCCCTGGCACAGGGTGCCCAGAGAAGCTGTGGCTGCCCCTGGATCCCTGGAAGTGTCCAAGGCCAGGGTGGACAGGGCTTGGATCAGCCTGGGATAATGGAAGTCCCTGCCCATGGCTGGGGTTGGAACTGGATGAGCTTTAAGGTCCCTTCCAACCCCTAATCTGAATTTGGGTTTGGGATTCTGAGATCCAGTGTTTTATAATTGAGGATGTGATGACAACTCTGGCCATCAATGGTCAGGCAGGAGTTTAAAGCAAACAGCAAGAAATAAACTTTCACAGTCTGTGAAGAATTAGGAAAATCATTTTACTTCACATCTTTTGCATGCAGAAAGTACTGGCTGGCTGAAAATCTTGTAATGCTGAGGTTCCCACTGTGGCTTTGACACCTCCATGATCCTGGAGGTCTTTCCCAACCTGAATGATTCTGTGATTGATTCCAGTGTCCCACGATGGCTTTGCCCCCTCTGCAGCTGAGTGAGATTTGGATTCTGGTTTGGTTTGGCCCCTCCTTGGTGGAATCTGACAGGATTTTTGGCTGGATTATCATCAGTTAAAGGATCTCTTGTGATGTTGCAGTGACTTGGCAGTGCTGGGTTAACAATTGGAGTCGATGATCTTTCAGTGCTTTGATGTCTCCTATGAGAAACACCACAGAAATCCTCTAAAGGAATAAATTCTCTTTGAATTGCAGTGGAATATTGGAGGGGGAAATGATCCAATGGTTCTTTAAAAATTTTCTGCACTGAGTTAAAAATCCCGAGGGATAATTGCAGCATGGTAATGAGGAGGTCCCGTTGGATGGCTCAGGAATTTTGAGACAGAGAGGACTAAAAATTCTTCTAGAACAGGATTACCATCAAATTATATCAGCCTCAGTGGCAGGAAATCAATCCAGAGTGGGCTGATTTACATCTGCCAGAGCCAGCACATCCTGAACCTCCCCATGTCTCCAAGTGATGTTTTTATCTTCACATCAACACTGTCAGTACCAGGAAAATATTTTTCCCCTTAAAATCTAAACATCCAAGGTGGGATTTGGCAGAGTGTCAGAGCCTGGGGTTCCCACTGCTCCTGACAAGAGGACAAAAGTGCATTATAGGGACTCATCTTGGGTTCTGCTTTATTCAGGTTTTAATGGGCTGGGAAGGGATAAATGATGTTTATGCCCTCTTGTGGTGCCTCATCGAATGGAATGGGTTTCCTAACTGACAAAATGAGGCCAATGATGGAAAAGTCCCAGATTAAAAACCTGCAAAAAACACTGTTTTGCGCAGTGAAATAATCTCTCCCCCTCCAGCAGCATCCTCACGACTCAGGGAAGGGGGAGAGCCCAATTTTGGCTGCATTTGCAGCAGCAGGTAAAATGAGTGATGCCCACGATGGCAGAGCTTGTGCCATCTTTCAGCAGTGAAGATCATTCCAAAGTGTTTTTCCTCTGCTGGGAAGGTCAGAAAGTGAATCAGTGCTTTGTAAAAGGAGCTGTGTTGACACCTCTTTGTGTTTGGTGCTCTTGATGTGTTGTGGTACAAACCTTCACAGGTTTTATCTTCTTTATTCACATGCCTGACAGGTGAATAACCTGATTCCCTTGGGACAAAGCCTGTCCCAAAGATGGAGAAAAGCTGGATGGTGATTTTCCATGGGGAAATAAGGCCAGGTTCCTGTGAAATGGGGCTTGTGATCCCAATTCCTTGTGTGGGAACACAGGGAATTAATGAGTCGAGACCTTCCTGAGCTGTGCTGAGAGTTGCAGGGTTGGGAACTCAGAAATCTCCAGACTGGCCAGTCATGGATTTTGTATCCATCTTATCACTTCATTCCTGGCTGAGGACTGAACACAGCAGAGTGTGTCCTTTAGACAGTGAAATTGTGGGAATAACTCAGAGTGATGCTCTCCAGAGCCCAGCAGCTCAGGCTGTGCTGGGGCAGGATCTGAGAAACTCCAGTGTGGGAAATTTGAAGACTTTTTGTCCCAAATAATCACCTGTTGTTTAAGTCCAGTATTTCTATTGCATGCCATCCTTGCCTCTCCCTGGCCATGTGGAGATGGAGGAGGAAAGGAATGATTTCCTTTCCACTTCTAGGGTAAGTAAACCCACAATACTGGGTTTAAATGAAAGTACTGGGTTTAACTGGGCTAGGCTTAGGAGGGACTCTCTAACAGGATGGAAAGTGTTGGAATGAGGATCTCCATCTCCAAATATCTTACATAACCAATGTTTTTTGAGGCTCATTCTATCATGATGAAAGAGGATGGACTTGATGACTGATGGCAGATTCACAATTTTGTGATTCCATGTGATGATTTCCAGTTGTTTATATTTTATATATTTAATAGTATGATGAAGTAAAATACTTTTCTGGGAATCCTAGATGCTGACCCTTCAATCAATTCTATCTACATCCAGTATTTATAACTACATTTTGCAACAGGACTCTGACATTAATTACAGTGCTTATTAGATTTTAGCACGGACTTCAGAGCACGACTTATGTCCCCACTGAGAAGAGAATTGGCTCCAAAACGTTGGTGTTTACCAGTTTCCTTAGGAAAGAACAATGTATTGGGGAAAATGTCACAGCAATTCATCTTAAAAAGAAATTCTCTCTGTCAGAAACCTCTCAGGAGTTTCAAATTTAGTTGGGGGATATCAGAAAGCAATTAAAGTCTAATTTAAAATCCCCACCCACATTCCATCTTCTCTTCCTGCCAAGTGATTATTGCTCCTGGTCCACGTATTGGCAAATCTTTCCAAAATGAGCCATAATTTGCCTTAAAACTTGAAACTTTCTGGCCAAGATGGAACTTTTCTCTTTGAACAGTGAGTTTGCAGTGACTCTGCAAAAAAAAAAAAAAAGCCCAAATGCTCTGATTTCCCAAGGACATCCCTGGGGTTGAAATTTCACCCAGAAATTCTTCTTGGACAAGGACATTGGGGGTGGATTTTGAAGCTGAGGCACCTTCCAGGGGAGGTTCCTGGACACTGCAGCTTCCCAGGGTGGATCTGAGTGTGCTCTCCCTTTGTTTTGCACTTTCATTGATGGCTCCACATCACTGCCTGGGTTAATAAAGAGAATAAAAGCGTGGCCTGATAAATTATCAAGGTTGTATTTTTTATGGTGGATTGGGTTCAATGCCCATGCCATGTATATTTAACCCATTGTGGGAGAATTCTTCATCCCTTGAGGCAAAACTACCCAATGATTTTGTTCCACTGGTTCTCCTTTGTTCTCTGAAGGCACTGAAAAGGCAAACTTTGGGCAGTTGTCCGGGTGTAATGGGATGGTAAAGACACAATCTTTTAAATCAATCACCAAAAGATCCCAATTTTCTGGGATCCTGTAGGGAGATGGGAGACCTGGTGGCAGATTAAGCCATAAAAAGGAGATGCTTCACTCCCTGTCTGTGCCCGGAGCAAAACACCACAGAGAGCCAGCAGGGAGGAAAAGCTTCCAGGGATGAGCTGGGAATGTGATCCCAGCACTGTGGCTCCTTCAGGGAGGAATCCTGATGTCATTCACAGCAAACCACTAATGGCTTTCCCTGGTTTTTCCTGACAGGTGCTGACAGAGGGAGGCTTTGGCTCCATCACCACCGAGATCCGGGAGGCTCCTGAGTTTTATTATGCCGAGGAATATCACCAGCAGTACCTCAGCAAGAATCCTGGTGGATACTGTGGGCTGGGGGGGACGGGGGTTTCCTGCCCCATCGGCCTCAGGAAATAGCCTGGGCTTGCTCCACCACCTCCTCTTCGTGGCAGGGAGCTTGGAAAAACAACCAGGAACTCCAGGGGTGAATATTCCCACAGCATCCGTGGATAAAGATTTGGGAATCTGCTGGGGAGGCTTTCTGTAATCATAAGTTTTGTGTTTGTAGAGGCAGGGATTGTTCCCATCACAGCTTCTTGCTCTGTGCAGCTCCTGGGGTTTCATTGTCATCTGGAGAGGTGGAAAAAGATCCAAATTTCCAAAAGTTTGGCTCGAAATGCTGTTAAAAGGGTGAACTGGGAGGTGGTTGCACCCATAGCTGCTTTGCATTTACAATGCCTTTGGACTTGTTGATTTTCTTAATTAATTTCCTGCTGTTCCTAGAGCTCTGGCTTCTGGAGATGTGGTTGGGTTCTTTACCTGTCCCAACCCTGGAATTTGATGTCTTTGGGAAGGATGAATTGATCAGATCAGTGATTCTCCTGCCACAACTCAGCTTTCACAGCATTTAGAACCACCTGTAGTGCCTATTTTCTGAAATGATTTTAGCCAGAAAAAGTCAAAATTGTAATGTGATGCTTCTTTTTGACAGTTCCAAGAGGTGAATAAACACAAAAAGAAATGGGTTTTGTTTCCTGCTCTGCAATAAATGACAGAACAAGAAAAGAAAATGTTCTCTGTGATGTGTTCCAAGTAGATATCTGGGTAGATCTAAAAAAATTATCAAGTATTATAAAATGCTGCAGTTTGCTAATTAAACACCAGGGCTTTTTAATCTGTTTCATCAGGCATGACAGTACAGAGGAGTAGAATTATCCCTATGATTAATTATTTGTACTTTAATAACTTGGGGAGCCCCCACCAAGAGCAGACTCATGGCAAGCATAACTTGGGGCAGTCTCCAGTGAGTGTGCAGTCAAAACAGCAGGAAATCCAGAAAGGGGGGAAAAAAAAAAATCCATTTTGGATTTATTCACAGGGTTCTCAGAGCACAGACTCACAGCTGCAGACAAAGGATGCAGGGATGCACAGTTTATCCCATATGGAAATGGGATCCTGTGGTCCAGGGCTCAAGGAGTGAGCCAGTTTTGAGGGACAGGTCGTGGGACCCAGAGACACAAATCCACAGCACCTCCTCCTCCGTGGCTTGGTTTGATGTTTCCTGCTCACCAGCTCAGCTTCAAAGCTCAAAAAGGCCCAAAAAAGCTCCCTGAACATCTCCTGTGAACCTTCCCAGCAGCTCAGACCGTGCTCCAAGCTTGGAGAGACTGAAAATGTGCCCCACAAAGTCAATGTTTGGGATTGTAAATGCAGCCCTGCTCGTTGTATCCAGAGATGAGCAGTAAGTCTGTGCCAGAAAAATCAGCTCCCCATCTTCCCTCATGCTCCTCAGCTGATGCTGAGCTCATCCCAGTCTCAAACTCCAGAGGAAATCTGTCCCCTTGGCCGATTACAGCTGGGTCAGGCTTACAGGAGCTGCCTCAGGCAGGATTCCCCCATTAGGTTCTTTCTGGAGGTGCCCCAAAATGTGCCCACAACGCACTTGGAATTTTCATTTCTGTGCTGACTGATCCTGTCCCTAGCCTGTCCTGCCATGGAGTTCTTTCAGTGCTCACAGCCAAGTAAACCAGCACCTGTGTCTCATTTCCTTGGCATGAAGTGACAGAGAAGCAAAGAAGAGAGGGAAATAAAGTCTCACCCTCATCCTATGCATTGTCAACGCCTGTGAAATCCAGACTCTGGTGGAAAAACTCCTGATGTGCTCCAAGGCAAAGCATTTCACTGCTGAATCATCTGGGGACTCATAAAATATCTCCTGGTTCCCTTTGTTTCTTCTTCATCCCCTCTTACTCCATGCTGTAGTTATTGTTTTGAAACAAGCTGGAAAGTCTTTGGGAAAAACTCTTTTCATAGATATCCACAAGTCTGAGCCTGGCTGAGGATTTTTTAAAGCCTTCTCCTGATTTAAATTATGAGTTGGTCTAAAAATCAGCATAATGGCCCCATTGATATTACAATAGGCCCACACCAAAATATTTTGCCGCCACTGAATTATTTGTTGACATTTTTGATTTGATTTTGATTCGATAGTTTTGATTGGGCATTCTTTGAAAATTGTCCTTTGACAGAGCTCCCATTTTCTCCTACAAACAGAGAATCCCAGGATGGTTTGGGTGGGAAGGGGCCTTAAAGATCATCCAGTCTCACCTCCTGCCATGGGCAGGGACACCTCCCACTATCCCAGGTTGCTCCAAGCCCTGTCCAACCTGGCCTTAAACACTTCCAGAAATGGAGAAACTCTCCTGTTTAAGTACATTCACGTCAATACCCCAGGCATGGTCCAACTGGAGAGAGAATTACCAGGAAATGAGAAAATTAATATGATGATAGGCTTCAGAGAGATGAAGTTGAAAGCTGAGACAGGACCAGCTCCTGAAGTTTGCTAAGATGCTTCAAGATCCAGGAAAGGATCTTGAAATCTTCACCACCATTGCCATACCTGTGGGGGTGTATGCTGGGCTTTGCACCACTTATTAGTGGCTTGTCACCTGTCTTGTCTGTTTTCTTTTGGAGCCAGGATTAATAGAAACACAATTGAGGTGATTCTCGTGTTCGGGCTTGGATGTTTATTATATCTTATTAGAAACTACAGAAAGTATTACAGCACCTCTAGCTCCTTGCTAGAAGTGGGAAAATGGCCCCAGCTGAGCCTGCTTCAAGGCCTTTTAAAGCTAAACACACCAATAAAAGTTTAACACTTACATTATTTATACTTTTGACCCAATAATAGATTCCCACGACCCTTAGAGTGACATTGACTGACCAGCCAAAGGTCACTGCCTGAGTTCTGTGAAGAAGATGGAAGGAGAAGAAGAAGATGAACAAAGAAAAAGACATCACCCAAAATTCTCCATCTTGTCCCATATCCACCACTATACTGTAAAAACCTCAAATTTAAAACTCATTACTAAGTGAAAATACACACATCTAACCCACGACACATTGGTGATTTCTAACTCATTATTCAGATTTACAAATCTTCTTCCAGGTTTCAGGTCCAGAGCAGTGTTTTCCAGGGGATCTATGCATGGAAGCACAGAAAGCTCAAAAACTCCAGATTTCTGGGCTCCAACAATATCCTGTGAGGTTAGCCTGGGATACAGACAGGAATTACACTTCTGCCCTGTCCTTGTTAGAGCTAGAGGAAATCACAAACCTTCTGGAGATCCCTGAGCTTCCCCTCAGTGATGCTTTTGCCTTGGGAAGGAGCATCCAAGAGCTGCACCAACACTCAGGAGTGGCTGCTGTGATGTCACCTGGGCTGTGTTGATGTGGAATGCAGGTGATGTCCTGAGGCACCTGCAGGGGCATCGCTGCTCTGAGAGCTGTGGGACAGTGTTGGACCAGGATGGAATGAGATGCTGCTCCTTACCCTCTCCTGTTTAGCTTCCCTGACCAGCAGTGTCCAGGCAGGTTTTGTTTCTCAGCATTCTCAGCACAGAAGAGATGCAGGATATTCAGATGTGGGTAAGTGAAACGGGCCTGGCCTTGTTCCTTCTGCTCAGGGAATAAAGGTGCAGACTGATGCACCTTCCACTCCCTAAATAAGGATTTTATCCCACCTGCCTATGGGACATGGTCAATGGTCCCTCCCACCCCAAATTCCTGGGCAGGGCTTGGCAGAGTTTAAGTTTGGGGAGGTGACAGACACAGACTTTGGGAGAGATCAAAGAACAGATCCAGGGAGGGCATTCTCACCCTTTACTCTGCTGAGACTCCACCTGCAGAGCTGCCTCCAGCCCTGGGGCCAACAGCAGAAGGAGGTGGAGCTGCTGGGGAGAGTCCAGAGGAGGTCACGGAGATGTTCCAAGGGCTGGAGCCAGGCTGGGAGAGCTGGGGGTGCTCACCTGGAGCAGAGAAGGATCCAGGGAGAGCTCAGAGCCCCTTGCAGAGCCTAAAGGGGCTCCAGGAGAGCTGGAGAGGGACTGGGGACAAGGGATGGAGGGACAGGACACAGGGAATGGCTTCCCACTGCCAGAGGGCAGGGATGGATGGGATATTGGGCAGGAATTGTTCTCTGGGAGGGTGGGGAGGCCCTGGCACAGGGTGCCCAGAGAAGCTGTGGCTGCCCCTGGATCCCTGGAAATGCCCAAGGCCAGGTTGGATGGGGCTTGGAGCAGCCTGGTGTGGTGGAAGTTGGAGTTGGAAAAAATATTTTTAAATCCCTTCCAATCCCAACCATTGTGTGATTCTGTGTTTCTCTGATTCCATGGATATTTCCATTTCAGTGCTCGGGGATTTTCCTGCCCCTGCCTTTCAGCAGCACAGGCTGTGACACTGCTGAACGTGTCCAAAATGTCCCTTTTTGTACCCAGGGTGTGGCCTCCGACCATCCTACGAGTCCTTCCAGAAGACTGGCAAGAGGACTGGCACAGGGACAGACATCAAGCCTGGGGAATTCCCGTGGCTCGTGAGCATCCAGAGCCACGGGAAGCACATCTGTGGAGGCACCATCATCAGTGCACTGTGGATTTTAACTGCAGCCCACTGCTTTGTAAAGGAGCTGTGAGTGCTCCAGGGCTGGGAGGGCAGCCCAGGCACAGGGAGGGATGAGGTTCCTCCTGGTGGGTGCAGGATGGGCATCTCCTCAAGGTCGTGGGCCACGTTTGTGTGGCTGAACCCTTAAAACAGGGATTGTCTCCTTTGGGGAGAACAATTTTTGAACACAGAAATGTGCAGGAATCTGCATAAGCTGGAGAAGCAGAAGGGGAATACTTTGAGGGATGGCCTGAGCAGCCTTGGATGAGTGCCCCTAATGCTATTCTGATGGCCCTGAGCATTTCCTGTGCATCTACACCTGCTCTAGTGCCTTGTAAAAGGTGATGGATTCCATTCTAGCTCATTGTATCCCCCCAACGACCTTTGCTTTCACACAGCAAACACCTTCACCTCGTGGAAACTCTGAATTTAAAACACCAAGTTCTGGATAAATCAACTCCATGCAGTGTCCAGGGGCAGAGTCCAACCCTCTGTGAGTCCCCTCCAAAATGTGGCAGGTCTGACAGCCAGGGCTGCTGGGTGACAAATGACCTGTGGCAGCACAGCCTGGAGCAGCTGGCTGGGGACAGCAGGGTCCAAGAGATCCAAAAGATCCAGACCATTCCATCTGTTTGCCACTGACTGGGTTATTTACAACCTGGCTGCATTCACGTTCCACCTCTGCACCTCCCTGCCCTGGAAATCATCCTTTACTAAGAGTGAGGGTAAATTCCTTGGATATTTATAGCCTAAGTCACCATCATGCCCTGCTCTGGGGAGGAGGCACCAACCTTTATAACCCAAATCCTTCATGTTCACCATGTCCTGATTTGTTTTTAAGGCCACCAGATCTGACGGTGGCAGTGGGGGGAGTCGACCTCAACCTCCCCCTGGAAGAGCACAACCCTGACAGCCTGATCCTGCACGAGGAATTCAACAGAACCAGCCTGCAAAATGACATTGCCCTGATCCTGCTCAGCAATCCCATCGAGTTCAGCAAGGAGAAAATCCCAGCCTGCCTGCCCTATGCGTGTGACATGGACACGTGGCAGCACTGCTGGGCTGCTGGCTGGGAGAACACAAGCACAGGTGAGAGCTGGGGGAGATGCATTTGCTGATGGAAGATGGGTTTTAGCCATTTAAAGTGGCTGTTCTCTCTCCCATGAGGGGTTTCCCAGACAAAGTTCCATCCCCCACCTCGCTGGTTAATACATCCAGACCTCCCCAGCCTCTGCACATCCACCAGTTCCCTGTTCAGGACAAGAACCAGGCACCAACAAACCCCCAGGACAAAATCTGGGACTTTTTTTGGCACCACCTCCAAACTTTGGACCTCTTTTTGGCACCCAGATTAAGACAAGCTCCACCCTGGTGGGTAAATTAGCACAGAATCATGGAATTATTATGGCTGGAAGGGACCTTAAAGCTCATTTTATTCCAACCCCCTGCCAGGGGCAGGGACACCTTCCACTATCCCAGGTTGCTCCAAGCCCCATCCAGCCTGGCCTTGGACACTTGTGGGATCCTGGTGGGCAACTTCAGCTCGGGATATTTTATGAATCACCCAGTTAGGCTGGATCTAAAATGGTCTGGACTAAAGGAAATGAAGGTTTAGGTCTGTCTTTGGCTTAATGCCTCCATCCAGCTGGATTGACTCATTGGTTCTGGCCACTCCTTCCTTCACTCGTTTAGGACTGCAGATTGCTGTTGCTAATTGATCTCATTTAAGCCCTAATGAAAGCAGTTCCAGCAATGATTGTGACCCAAAATGTCTATCCTGAACAAATGTCACTAAATGAGCTGTTTCATTATTGGAAATAATTAATCAGGACTGGGAGGCCAAGGGGGTGCCTTGGAGCTTGAGTGGTCCTTCCCAGGATGCACTAAGTGAATATCCCATTGAATCCTTGCTATTCTGCTCCAAAGTGTTGCTGATTTTTTCCATGAAACCTCTCATTTTCCTCCTTAGGCTTCATTTTCCTTCTTAGGCTTCATTTTCCTCCCTCAGCACTAACACTCTCATAGTTGTGAAACTCTCCCATTTTACCAAGGTGATGTGTTCCTAGAGCAGAGGGGCTGCTGCAGAATCCCTCTGCAGGATTTCTCTGTGCAAAAACCACGGAGCAGCTCTGGGGATTGGCTTCGTGCTGCTGTATGGGCTCAGCTGACAGGGATTCTGCTTCCAAAAATTGGTGGTGATGTGCTCAGCCCTGGCACCTCCCACCCTCTGTCTGGTAGAGGCTTCAGAAGAAATCCAGCAGAGGCTGAGTGTGGTGTGATAGGGGCAAAGCCAAAAGGGACAGAATCAGGGAATTGTTTGGGTTGGAAGGACCTTAAATCATCCAGTTCCACCCTTACCATGGGCAGGGACAACTTCCACTATCCCAGGTTGCTCCAAGCCCCATCCAGCCTGGCCTTGGACACTTCCAGGGATCCAGGAGCAGCCACAGCTTCTCTGGGAATTCTATTCCAGGGCCTCTCCACCCTCCCAGGGAACAATTCCTTCCCAAAATCCCATCCATCCCTGCCCTCTGGCAGTGGGAAGCCATTCCCTGTGTCCTGTCCCTCCATCCCTTGTCCCCAGTCCCTCTTCAGCTCTCCTGGAGCCCCTTTAGGCTCTGGAAGAGGCTCTAAAGTCTTCCCAGAGCTTTCTCTTCTCCAGGTGAACACCTCCAGCTCCCCCAGCTTCTCTCCATAACAGAAGGGCTTCACCTTCCTGGAGATTCCTACACCAAAGCATTTTCGTCTTTGGGCACTTCCATCTTAGCTGGAGAAGGGATGTGACAACTTTCCATCTTTTACATCTTGTCATTGAGTCAGTTTCCTGAAGGTTCTGGGAGGATTTAGCACAGTGAAATATGAAACAAGGGGTGAGTTTCAAATGATCTGGAGATCTCAGTTTTATCCTTTAGACTCAGGTTCACTTCAGACAGAAATGTGGGTGAAATAAGTGAGGTTTCCAAGTAGCCCAGCACATTTTCAGTCTTTCTGTCACTTGCAGGTGCCAGCTGTGATTTCTGTATTCCCATCCCGAGGGAAGAATAAAGCAGATATTTCCTTTATGTGCTGCCATCCCCAAAGAGCCACTTTGTGAAGATCCAGCTGGTCCCCTGGGTGAGGCATGGCCTTGCATCCCTCCCTGGGGAGAACAATTGGATATTAAGGGAAAATTTCTTCCCTGGCAGAGTTGTTGGGCATTGGAACAACTGCCCGGGGCAGTGCTGGAGTCCCCATTCCTGGAGAGATTTAAAAGCCCTGTGGATGTGGCACCTGGGACATGGGGCAGAGGTGGCCTTGGCAGAGCTGGGGGATGGTTGGACTGGATGATCTCAAAGGCTGTTTCCAATGTCAATTATTCCATGATTCCTTAATTCCAAGATTAGAATTCTGGGGGAAGCTCAGTGGACTTTGATCTTTGGGGGCTTGCTCAGGATCCCATGAAAAGCCCCTCGGGCTGAGTTCCCAAAAAATCCATGAATGAAAAACTCGAGGTGTGCAGGGCAGCTCATCACTGAGACCTCCAGCAGGAAAATCCATCCCTATGGGGGTTTCCCAGTAGTCTGACATTCCTGGAAGTGTCCAAGGCCAGGCTGGACAGGGTTTGGAGCAACCTGGGATAGTGGAAGGTGTCCCTGCCCATGGCAGGGGTGCCACTGGATGAGCTTTAAGGTCCCTTCCCACCCAAACCATTCTGGGATTCTGTGACAAACTCAGGAGCACAAACTCATGATTGCCAACACTTGGGGATCCCCTGTATGCTCCCAAGACCCCAAAACCCTACAGTTCTGCCCAGAGACCCCATTGCTCTGAGATGCTTTGGAAATCCAGCTGAGATTCTTCCCAAAAGGAAATCTCCAGCTGCTCTGCAGCTTTGTTGATCCTTCTCTTTTCATTTGCTGCAGCATTCCATGTGCTGCAGAAAACACAGATGAAGCTGATCAGCAAGGAGAAATGCCTGGAGCAGATCCCACACCTCGTGGGGAGTGTGATGTGTGCTGAGACAGAGCGAGGAGGAGGAGGAGGAGGAGGAGGAGGAAGAGGCTGCCAGGTAAAGGGACCAGCGTCCCTGGTCTTCTTCATGGCCAGGTTACAGACTGAAAGGAGACAGGAATGGTTGTCCAGGAGGTTTAAGGCAAAAGAATTGGGAGGGAAGTTTAATCTGGGGGTGTTTAATTTAAATATTAGAAAAACTTCTCAGGTGAGGTCTTGGCTCTGACCCAAATGTTCTTGGTTAGTCTGTGAGTGCCAGAATGAGCCACATCTTGTGGCAGTGTGTTGGTGACAGAGAATGAGGGACTTTTCAAGCTAAATTACAGTCTGAGCAGTATTTGATATCAGGGAGCTGACACAAACACCCAAATGAGGCAAAACTCACCCAGAACCTGTTCCCACACGACACATTCCACCCCCAGGATCTCTGCCCTGGTGTCAAACAGAGTCTGGAGGCCAAAAATCACCTTTTCTTTCATAGCATCCAACTTCCAACCCCTCTCCTGAGACGCTGACAAGGACTGGGCTCTCCTGCAGCCTCTGGTTCCAGACTGAGATTTCCCTCCTCCACTGGGCAATGGTTTTCTAGGAATCACAGAATGGTTTGGGTTGGACAGGGCCTTAAATCTCACCCAGTTCCCACTAGTGCCATGGGCAGGGACATCTTCCACTATCCCAGGTTGCTCCAAGCCCCACCCAGCTGTATTTTATACATGTCCATGGGTTTGGAGGGGTCTGGATGGGGAGACACATGGATGGACAGCTCCATCCTGTAGGAATTGCTCATTCCAGGAACTAAACCAGCACCCAGGACAGAAAGAGATCCTCTGACCTTTAGGCAAAGGCAGGGGGCACCAGGACCATGGGACCCTGAGGGAAAGTTTTGCAAAATGATTTTTTGATCAGCATCTGCCTCTGAAACCAACCAAGAAGTGACTTTCACCTCCATTAAATTAAGTAAAAAAAATCTTTAAAAGAAACCTGCCACAGGATAACATTAACATGATTAAAGGATGCACTGCCCAGCCCAGCCTAGCCTGAAGTTCTGTGGGTGAATGATGCTGCTGAAATGGCAGGAGCACTTGTTCCCAGCAAAATGAATCTCCTGGACTCAGAAAGCTGATGAAGAAGCTGTTTTGATCCACAAAATAATGTCAGAGTTTTTAGAGGAATGAAGTAGGAATGTGAGATTTCCAAGCAGCAGAAGCACACATCCTTTGCACGGGTGATAAAACTCAGAATTCAACATCTCTCTGATTTTAGTGGGATCGTGACCAGGCAGGAATGCTTTGTAAACTGGAATAAAGGGAACAGGACAAAACCAGAGCTGAGGATAGAAGTTGTACTTTTCAGGGATGAAACAAGTGACAGGACTTGCCACCAGATTTTGCTGATTTGCTGGAGGGGAAGTGTTTTGCTGCTGGATGGTTTCCTGGATTTCTGAGAAGTGCTGATTAAAGCCAGGGGAACACATTTTGGCCTCACCAGGTTGGGTCAGAAGCCTGGTGGCTTGTCCATAGGAGGCTGCCTGGTCACGGCCTGGCACAGCACAGGGCTCAACCTGATGCATCAGGGACCACTGGGCAGAATCCCAGAATTATTTAGGTTGGAAAAGACCTCTAAGATCACTGAGTCCAGCCCATGATCAATCCCCACCTTGTCACCAGCCCAGAGCACTGAGTGCCACATCCAGGAATTCTGTGGCACTCCAAATTTCCCTGGGCAGCTCCTTCTAAAGCCTGACGATCCTTGCAGAAAAGAAATTTTTTCCAATATTCAACCTAAACCTCCCCTGGCACAGCTTGAGGATTTTTTCCCTTATCTTGTTGCTGTTCTCTGGGAGAAATCCTGACCCCTCCCGGCTGTCCCCTCCTGTCAGGGAGTTGTGCAGAGCCACAAGGTCCCCCCTGAGCCTCCTTTTTTCCAGGCTGAGCCCCTTTCCCAGCTCCCTCAGCCCCTCCTGGTGCTCCAGCCCCTTTCCCAGCTCTGTTCCCTTCCCTGGATGTGCTCCAACTCCTCACTGTCCTTCTGGCAGTGAGGGGCCCTGAACTGGACAATCCATCTGCACTGTGCTGCCTCTCAAGCTATCCCTGTAAGGATTACAGGGTTTGTGTCAGCTGAGAGTGATTTCAAAGTGCCCAAATCCTTCACATCCTCATCTCTGTCACAGGCACAGAGCAGCCCTGGGCGTGGTGTTGGTCTGGCCCATCCAGATGTGTCCTGGGGACTTCCATGCTCCAGCTCTTGCATGGATCAGGAGCCACCCACGAGTCACTGTGGAGAGGCCAGGAAGGATGAGGAGCTTGGGCAGAGATTCCTGGTCAGGGAACAAGCCCTGGAGATGCTGACTTTGCTCCAGCAGCTGTAGCCCAAGGAAGATAAAAGCCTGATATTAACATTTCCTGGGAATTTCTGAGAATCAGGATATGTGTTTTCATGTCCAGAGCCAGGCTGAGGCAGGAAAGTTGCTGGACTTGAGGTTTTAAGTCCACATGATCCACATCTGGATCCAAATCTGTGAACTGTGATAGAGGGAATAACTTTTCACACAGGGAGACAGTGACAGGACAAAGGAGAATGGTTATTAGGATGTGAATATTAGGATGTGGATATTGGGAAGGAATTGTTCCCTGTGAGGGTGGGGAGGCCCTGGCACAGGGTGCCCAGAGAAGCTGTGGCTGCCCCTGGATCCCTGGAAGTGTCCAAGGCCAGGCTGGACAGGGCTTGGATCAGCCTGGGATAATGGAAGAAATCCCTCCTGATGTCCAACCTGAACCTCCCCTGGTGCAGCTTGAGGCCACCCCATGAATAGAAAAGCCATAAATTAAAAAGGCTCAGACATTTCACCAGCTGCCCTCATACCAGACCAGCCTAATTTGTGGATAACTGACCATGTTCCTCTAATAACTCAAGGAGATTGAATAGCAGAGCTCCCCAATATTTGTACTTTAAAAAAATAATCCATCCCCTTAAAAAGAAATATCTATTCTATCCCAATTCCCTGGCAGTTCTGCAGACAAATATATGGATTGGCTGGGAATTAACACTACCAGGAGCTGTAATTGACTTATAGTTCTATTTAGTCATAAACATTAACATTAATGGATGTTCAGGGGGTACAAGTGCTAAAGAACAGACACTGGAGATGGCCTATGTATTATTTTTTTGTGTGCTACATTTCTTCCATGACCCCATGAACCACGATTGATGTCTCATTCCTTGCTTTCTTAAGTATCTTTTGTTAGGCTCTGATGCAACGGTAACTTGAACAATAATTAGAGTATAAGGGGCTCACAAAGCAAATATCTCCTTCAGTGCCTTCCCAGCCCAGGCAAAATTCAGTAAATGGCCCAATTATAGTTCAGAGGGGCTGTGGGGGGAGCTCTGATGTGGTGATTAGGACAAAGAGTGTTCAGCTGGAGTCACAGGTCACCTACAGTTCAGCAGCACAGGAAGAGGGGGGGCCAGGCTCTGATTCCAGGGGAAGGAATCATTGGGTGACCCCCAAGAGCAGTGGGGTGGTTCCAGCTCAGCTGAGCCCTGGGCTGCAGGTATCCACCCCCTCCTACAGCCTGCAGCAAGGGGCAAATTGGCCATAAATCACACAGTGGTTGGGGTTTAAAGGGTTTAAAGCTCTTCTGGTTCCAACCTTCCACTCTCCCAGGTTGCTCCAAGCCCTGTCCAGCCTGGCCTTGGACATTTCCAGGGATCCAGGGGCAGCCACAGCTTCTCTGGGCACCCTGTGCCAGGGCCTCCCCACCCTCACAGGGAACAATTCCTTCCCAATATCCCATCTATCCCTGCTTTCTTCCAGGTTCGAGCCATTCCCCCTTGTCCCATCTCTGAAAATGCCCTTCACAGCCTCTGGGATGCTCAGGGCTCTCACCCCACAGAGCTGGAGCAAAAGCAGCAGTTTTGTGCAAACCTGGGTGGGGTTTTCCAGACATTTCACAAATGTCTTTTTTATAACCATCAGCATCTACAGAACCATCTTTCCATCAACAGGAAGAAAACAGCCCTGGTGATGGGAGTCACTGAGATTGTTTTAAGCATCTTTGTTAAAATGACAGCAAGCCCTGTATGTGTGTTTATTGCTCGCCATGAACTGAAATCCAGCTGGAGGGGTTTAGCTCACGGGGGGCACTCCAAGGCAGGACAGTTGCCTCCATTTAATTCTCTATTAGATATCCCATAATATCCCCTGGTATCCCACTGCTCCCTGTTCAAACTGTGCCCCAGTGACTGCAATGGGAGCTGACACTTGCACTGGAAAAGCTCTGGCATCCTTTCACACGGTCTTGAATGCTTTTGCTGGTCCAAACGTGGCCCCAAAACTGCTAAGAAAGACTTGTGAAATAGAATTTTTTGAAGGAAAGAAGTCTGCAAATGAAGACTGTGTTTTTATAGCTAATTGTCGTGGATTCAAGGGGAAGAGCACAAACCAGGATGGTGTGGTCAGACCCTGAAGCTGCTCAAAATCCCTGAGCAGGGGTGGTTAAAGGATGGTCTGGCTCCAGGGATGGGGAGCATCCACAGGAGCTCTGAGGTCCTTCTGCCTCTCAGCCAAATGTTCCCTGGGGCCAGGAGTCACAACTGTCCACGTTTCAGTCCAAACTGCACAAAAGCACTTTGTTATTGTATTATTACCTTAATAACAGAATCACTGAGGATGGAAAAGCCCTCTGGGATCATCGAGTCCAACCATTCCCCCAGCACTGCCAAGGCCACCACAAAACCATGTCCCCAGGTGCCACTTCCACCTGTTTTCTGAACATTTCCAGGGTTGGTGACTCCACCACTGGACAACCCTTTCAGTGAAGACATTTTTCCTAATATTCAATGTAAATGTGGTGCATTGTGAGGCTGTTTCCTCTTTTCCCATTGAACAGAGGGATCCACTCCCCATCCTTGTCATGGATTTCCCATCACTGAGCTATTGCTACCACCACGAGGTGTTTCTTTTCCCCAAGGGACAGATTGCTTTGAGCAGAAAGGTGTCCTGGGAAGCCCCAGAACAAAGCAGTGGAGAAGTGTTTGTGCATTTGCTGTCCCCTCAGT